TTCTGACCAAGAAAGAGTAACATTTTCTGTTAGCTGCTGAAGGCTTCGGTGACAAACATGAAGCATAACCTTTATATGGCAGAATTCTTCCCACTGAGAACTATTGCATTGAGATGATAGTTTTGTCCAAATACGCACGATATTTTCACATTCATATTTTTTCCATTGACCATTGCAAAGTCTATAATTTAGATAGAGCTAAAAAAGTGAAAGATTCTTAAGCTCATCAGGTCAGCTCCAGTACTTTTGTAAAGGTAATTTTTCTGTTTGTCCAACTTTGCTAGTTGGCACAAAATTTTTACTTTCAGTACCACAAAACCACCGTGGTGTTTTTCTGTTGAGATTTAAAGTAACAAATTGACGGCTGAAATGATAAAGAGAAATTCCAAGAAGGAGGTAGCATGTTTCTTGTGCGGAGATATCACATTCAGCAACGGTGTGTAGTAGTAATCTTTGAAATGAACTAAGAGAAGAGTTTGAAGAATTACTGTCTTAAAGGATTTGATTTAATATTTCTGAAAAAGCTGTAGATCATAGCTCTGATTTACTTACATATTTTGCTACATACTGTAAGGCGGTATGAATATTAAGAATTGGTTTTAGGTCAACATTCACACACCAACCCTGAAGTTGAAGCCGATTATGAGAATTAATGTATAGATCATTTCTTAATGTGATAAGCTTCAGTTTACTATTATCATCACATATAATTATATGTTCTACATTATCTTTAGGAAATCCAAATCAGCAATGTTGTTGACCTGTTTTATTTATACGAAGACAATATAAAGGGCTACAACGTGTATATCACTGTAGCTTGTTAACAAGTTCAATATAATCCTGTAGATCATTGCGCAATTCATCATAACTCTTCTGGCAAGGATAGTGATTAGATACAGATACATCGATTCCTGGATTAATTGTAGTAACTAATGAATCAAAATGTTGCACCATTTTTGCTATTTCTTCTTCATTTTCTTTCATATTCTTCTATTCAAATGCGGGTGCATTTTTAATTTTTCCGATACCGTCTACATGAATGCTGCCCTGATGTTGCTACTCGAATCTATACCACCAATCCTCCAATTTCCATTTAGGATTAATACGTTTTCTAAGAAAACTTTGAAGTGCTTTTCGAAAAACCAGGCGGCAATATGAGGGTTTTCAATTAAGTCTTGGTGTCTATGCTTATTTTTTTCTCGCTCAAACTCTCCCTCTGCTGGATTTTCACCATGTGGCATGAGCTTATGAAGCTCTGGCCAATGCAAGTCAGCGGCACTAAAGGTGAAAAATATTATTCCATTTGATCCTAACTGTTTGATCATATCTGACAGTTCAAATTGTCATTTATTCCAGAACTGTCGTGTTCTACGCAATCCCTCACCAAATCGTATAATCTGATCTGCT